GTCGAGGCTGCAGTGGCTGGGAGTGGCCACTGCACTCCAGTCTGGGCGACAGAGTGAGACAACGACTCAAAAAAAAGAAAAAAAAGAAAAAAAAAGAAAAGAAAATTAGATATAAAATTTTGATTTTTTTGTCATATTAAGTTCCTCAATGTCCAAAATTACATTATAAGCCAAGTATCATTACAATAAATAATTGATTCCAATGTTATGCTATTTAATATGAAGTGATTCATTTTTCACTGTTTTGTAAATAAGTGTGAGTGCAGCCAAGTTGCTGGTAGGTGATCCATGATATGTCTCCAAGTTCAAAGAGGTAAAACATAAAATCATTAAATAAGATAAAAAATATTTCATATTGATGCAAAAGTATTTGCCACCAAGAAAAATAAAATTAAAACACTGTATACAACAAATGAGTGACAAATTTATACAATAAAACTGCATGTGAAGTAATAAAGCTTGATCCTTACCCTCACGCTATATTTAAAAGTTCACTCAAAAGGGATCATAGACCTAAATATAAGAACATAAGACTAGCTGGGCTCGGTGGTTCAGCCTGTAATCCCATGCCTTTCGGAGGCTGAGTTGAGTGGATTGCCTGAGCCCACGGGTTCGAGACCCACCTGGCCAACTTGGCGAGACCTCATCTCTACAATAAATCAAAAAATTAGCTGGGCGTGGTAGCGCACGCCTGTAGTTCCAGCTACTTGGAAGTATCGCCGGAGCCCAGCAGGTCGAGGTTGCGGTGGCCGGGAGCGGCCACTGCACTCCAGTCTGGGTGACAGAGTGAGACTCCAACTCAAAAAAAAAAAAAAAGAACATAAGACTATAAAACATCTAGAAGACCACATTTGGAGAAAAATCTTTTGACTTCAAGTTAAGCACAGATTTCTTCAATGGACAGCAGCAAAAGCACAATCATTCAAGAAAAATATTGAGAAACTAGTCTGCACCACAATGAAAAATTTCCACTCTTTCAAAGAAATTGTTAGGAAATTGAAAAGACAAACCACAGACTGAGAAAAAATATTTGCAAATCACATACCTGATAAGGTGCTTATAATCAAAAGCACAACCAAATAAGAAACAACTCAATAGGAGATTTAACTTTTAAAGTGCAGGGATTA